CTCGGCCGCATAGAGCGAGGCGTTGTTGTTGTATTCAGACGGAATATTCATACAAACTGCTGCCTCTGTCACCGCACTTGTTACAGAGCTCAGTATTAACGGGGTGGATGGTTCGCTAGCCTCGCCCGCTCGCCAATTTACCGTGGGAAAAATACGGAAAAGCTCAGCGGAGGCTGTAAAGGGGACAGGGAAGAAGACCCCAATGGAATCGTTTGCAGTCATACATTGGCAAGTTTGTTCACGTGACATCTTTATTGGTAATATTATGAATCCCATTATATTCATAAAACGTATTTCCACAAGGTGCTCAAGGCGCTGTACACCACAAAGCACACAGACAAAACTTTGGCGATGTGGAGGAAAAACTTTTGGAGCTAATTGAGTACCAAAAGTTTAAGAGTATACATGGTTTGCGTGGATTTCCAATTACTAATCGTAACATTGGTGGCAAAAATCAAATCCTCGTGAAAAGCTCGCAAGCGTGGTTATTGTGCGCTGCGTCATGTTTGAAAGCCACCCACAGCGATATTGTGAAGCCATGTTCTTATTGTGTCCACGAGTGTGGCGACCGAGGGAAAGAGCTCAGAGCGGACGGTGGGAGACTCGGGGCAGGGTGCGTAGGTCGCTGTGTGTCTACCTGCAGCAGCAGCAGCTGCGGCATCTGGCAGAGAGTAGACAACGTTGGTGAGGTGCGGTGGTGGCTTAGGCCCCTGATGGCATCTTAATCTTGTATTGTGAGTGTGCGTGGGGAGCGGTGGGGTAGCTGTTAGCGCGCTGCGCTATGGACGATTCCAGCTCACGGCCAACACCAGTGACGATTATCTGATCCAGTCCTCGGCCTTACCTAGGTCGACTCAGCCTCAAATGAGCACCTGTTGTGGTGTCTAAACACGTCACTTGGGAGATAAAAGTGGCCATGCGTGGTTTTGGCCACCCACCCCCTCGTGTCCCGTGCCAGCCTTCATAGGTGCTCGCTAACAACACTTGCCCCAACAGTCTTTTAAGGCTATATGGGTGGGGTCTTTGTCTTTGTGGCCAAATCAGCTTAATCAGCTCGGGTACAACACCAAGATGGACCGTTGCATCAGGAGACAGTGGCGAGATGGTGTATGACTTTGGGAGGTCTTCATTCAGCAATGGATAGTTCACGGAGAATGATGATGATGATGATTGGTGATATATGTGGCCTCCCATTTGTGCAGTCGGTGTAACCGTCATTGTCTACAGATGTTCACAAATCCAACCTCTTCACGTAGCCGCATATTCCACAGTCTCCAGCGAGTCGTAAATGTGGCATTGCGCCGTTACGTGTGGCCGTTCCTCGACTATGAGGTGAGAACCGAGTAAGGTGTAATGATCACGTTGTTCAATTTGTTGTTGTTGGAATAATTTATGTAGTTTTGCGATGTGTAATTTACGTAAAAAGTTGCAGGTTCTACGTATTGGTGAGCAGTTTTGTCGACTCGTTTGGTCAGTCTCTGCTTTGCCATGTTATTAAAGAGGGAGAGTTTCTGGTGTGAAGGCCACTTAGTGTGTCTGTAGAGCATGGCTTAGCCAGGGGACTCTGCTGTCTCGATGTCCTGGTCAGCCACGTGAAGCCCTCCTGTTGTACCACATGCCTTTGGTCAAGTGGCAGGAATTTCACAAATGCCTCGATACAATTTGTGCAAAGCAAACACAGCTTGAATGCAAACCGCCGTTTTTTTTGTATGTGTCTTAGTTGGAACAGCAAAACCATATGGTTACCCTGGCTATGTGGTTAATTTAAAGCCACAAACTAAAGTAGTCACACAAAGGGCATTCAAGCAGCCACATTATCTTTACAGCAATGTAAACCAGACTCTGCAGGGATTTAAGACAACCGTCAGAGCAGCTGACTTCCCCCTAAAACCTTGAATTGTGCGGAACACATTGCTTGGGATTTAAAATCTGCGAGTGTTATGTGTTCGAGAGGCCCTTGTTTACCAGTGCAGGGAGGAGGGGTTTCTCTGGGGCTGCAGATGCCACGTCCCATTTTGTTCATTCTTTTCAGCAACATCACAGCGACCATAGTATACAGCAAGTGGGGAGACAGACGAGCATATCAACACAACCCACTGCATTTCCCATATAAGGTATAAAAATATTAGGATCAATCAAACACCTCCTTCCAATATTTGTATCCAGGAAAGAAAAAAAAGGGTGTATATATTTTACACGTCCCATCAGCCACAGGACCTACTGAGAGTGCATCATTTCGGCGAGCATCAGGCTTAAAACACAAGCAAACTCCGGACCGGATTCGACATTCAGCGTCTTCATCAGCAGAGCCATTGGCGATGAACTGCCGGACGCTCATCGGCAACGGCCCTCTCTGTTAGACATGGCTCCTGGTTAGTTCGACGAACAAAAAACTCAACGCGGTACGCAGTGCGATTATTTTGCGATGAGAAAATTAGAGAAGAGCTGGCGCGATGAATGGGGTCGTGGGGGGCGAGAAAGATACCACGTGATGATAGCAGGAGAGGAGGAAGGGGCGTGCCTGGTTAACTTCACTCAACGTGGAAGTTGAGACCAAATCCGCGCGGAGAAACCAACGCTGCGTTCCCGTCTGGAGTGCGGCGTCGTTGCGTTGGAGGGAGGGATCTTCTCAAGGGGTCCCGTCGCGAGGGGCGAGCCGCGACTCATCATTATCTCTCCGCCGTGGAGAGGACGCAACCCCTCGCTGCTGCAGGAACCGCAATTAACCCTTTCCCGTCGTTCCGAGACGTCTGCAAGTTGTAGGGTGGATTTCCCGTTCACCGCTAATTTTATTTAGCGAGGCATAGTAGTGCCGTTGCTTTTAAATACATTTCACTCAACCGCAGAGAGCTGTAGCGACACGACCGCTCTCTGTGATAGCTGGCGCCAAACTGTGCCACACACCCTCCCGCATGGCCTTGTGGGAGCCTCGGTACCATTAAAGTGATTTTCTTTTGTTTTTTCTTCCGAATCCGTTCCGATGACGTGCGTGTACGTCAGAGTTTTTCGTTGGAGGAACGGAATCGTAAGAACAATATTGACGTACACATATGTCATTGGAATGGGAATCGGTTAAGCAATCGCCAGTATAAATGTAAATCCTTTACACCATTGGAACCTCATTTGCCAGTAAAAAATATAATTGTTTTTTTTACCCTTCTATATGGCAACAAACCTGACACCTTTTTTTACAAGGAGTCATGTTTGCATAGACCACAATACCTGCAGTCATAATGCAAACAAAAAACATAACTCTGATAATGGGCATTGTCCTTGAAGTTAATTGGTCCACACCCGAGACAGCTTTCCTTAGAGCCTAGTCTCACATGGGTTGGACCAGATGACGCGCCTTTTGGCATCATCTGGTCCAACCCATGTGAGACTAGTGCACATTATCAGAGTTATGTTTTTTGTATGCATTATGACTGCAGGTATTGTGGTCTATGCAAACATGACTCCTTGTAAAAAAAGGTGTCAGTTTTGTTGCCAGATAGAAGGGTAAAAAAAACAATTATCAATGTAAATCCTTTTTAATATTGGTTTGAATAATGATACTAATAATACTCAGTCGTTCATCAGTCCACTGCTAGATGAATTTCCTCCCACACCTTGTCGATCATGAGTCTTGTTCCACCATACTTCACCACGCTGGTCAGTATGTGCGTTCATGATGAGGGTGCTCAGAATCTGTTCAGATATTACTCGCTGCTGATTTGAGCCATGGTCGGGAATCCAACTCATGAGGCTGGGTTGCAAAGTGCACTAACCACTCCATCAGCACTCACCCCCCCCCCCCCCCCGTCTTGCTTCACAAAAGTGAAACTAAAGTCTAACCCAGAACATTGGTGAGTGCAGGAAACGTTCTATCTGGCTAATGTAGCGTCAACAAATACAACTAAGGGCTCTGTTTCATCGACAAAACAAACGAACAATTGGTCAGTTAACTGCAGAGCTCTGCCAGACCACGTGTGATGACGTGGGTGAGAGAACATGTGCAGGTTTCATGACATCATTCAATATGTTAAGAGAAGCAGGACATGTCATGGCTAGAAGGTTTGGAATGTGGAGCGATGAAATCAGTTCTTGCGCAGGTGCTGCGTGGATTGTTACGGCGCTTGGGCCGTAAGCGCCTGGGGAGGGCCTTCATCCAGCAGTGGATTGATGATGATGATTTAATTATGCGCGGCGAACACGGGACCAGTTTTTTTTACTTGAGTCTCGTCAGCAGCGTGCAACTATGTTAAAAACAAAAAAAAACGTGAAACTATTTTTTATCTTACCAAGTAAGGCCCACTGAGCTATGTAGCTCTTTTTCAGAAGCGACATGGCCACAAACTGATCGCTCAGCGAAGTGGCTTATCATGTCGACATTTATAGCAGCCAAGTACTCTAAACGCGCGTTTCTAAATGTGGAGGGAAAAAACAGAGAAAAATCCACACAACCACAGAGAACTTGCAAACTCCAAATATACAGGCATCAGGGTCGGGATTGAACCCATGCCCTTGTGTGTACCAGGCGAGGTAGTTAACATCTCGCCACCATGGCACCCCAATTATAAACAACAAGAACAATTATGCAAAGCTCTTCACGGTTTTTCGGTAATAACATTTTATTTTACAAAGTATATATTTACGTGTTTTTTCACGAATGAAATATCGTGTTGTTTTAACCGACAATTCTATTGAGCACGTACATATGTTGAACAGCTTTCCCAGTAAATTTTTGTGGCATCTATAAAAGCCAATACACTCAGTCAGCATGGCGCATATTTGATGGCGACCGCATCTGACAACCACTATTGCATTCCTTGCACGCGTGTACGGCTGACCGTCGTTTCGACCGCTGTACCTCCAATTAGCACGGTTGGCTACGTACGGTGCGAAATTATTTCGATATACGTACGGACGTGACGACGCCATTTGTTCCGACTGTTATTTTACAAAATGTTTTTTTTTGTCCGATGTTTTTTTTTTATTTACCTCTCCACGTTCCCGGCAAGACGCATTCGGAGGAGCGGCCCTTCCAGTGCGAGGAATGCAAGGCCCTCTTCCGCACGCCCTTCTCCCTGCAGCGGCATCTTCTCATCCACAACAGTGAGATCGCTGCTGCACTCCGAACAGACACACATGCATCGCTGCCCAGCAGCAGGGCATTCGGAGCTTATGCCCAGATATTCTATTCTTGTGTATGTCAAACTGATGAGCAGCTAAACACCCAATGTCCAGGTCTGTTAGTCACGACGAGAGGGCTTCAGGGGAGAGTCCGTGTTGTTTTGCTATTCCTCCTTCTTCGTTCAAGTTCAAGTTCATTTATTGGGTACAGCCCTGTGAGCCATTCGGCTCTTGAATCGGGTGCAACCGCAACAAACAAAAAAACAAAAACATGAACAAAAAACATCTTAAAGTGAATATGTGACTAAGTGCAAATAGAAAATCCAAGAAAAGACAGCAAAATGTTGCAGGAAAAAAACACCGTGTACACCAGGCTACAGTGTGTTTTCTATATGGTCCATAGTTTGGGTTGAACTGCAATCGAACTGTGGCTTGTGTCTTTATTTTTTCGATTTATGAAGGAGATGCGCTTATCGGCCTGTTGATGTTCTGATGTGGACCATGGTTACAGCAGTGACCGGCTTTACAAAGTGAAGGCGCAGTCACGTGGCCAGAGCTGTTGTTAACTCGCTCGCCTGGTATACAGGAGGATGTGGGTTCGATCCCAACCCTGACACCTGTATATTTGGAGTTTGCATGTCTCTTTCTCCCCATGGTTGAGTGGATTTTTCTCCAGGTCCTCCGTTTTTTCCCTCCACATTTACAATCAACATGTGTTTAGAATATTTGTCTGCTATATATTTCCACATGATGACCAACCTCGTTTAGCTATCATTTGTGGCCAGGTCGCTTCTGAAAAAAAGCTACATATGGCTCCAGTGGGCCTTACCTGGTAAAATAAAAAAAAACATGTTATAGTCAGTTTGTGCACACATGAAGAATGCCTTAGCAATGATGGAGTGTCAATATTGCAGAGCCCGTGCGTTTTCATTGCCTCTGTGATAGTGGAATGTATGAGTGCCCATTCTCGTGAGCAATGACCATTATACACAGCACTGTAAGGCATTGTGTCCACACGGATTAACTCAAAATGCTTTGATACATTCACTTAATAACGTTGAGTGAATGCACTGAAAACTCTTGATACATTGACTTCAAAGCGACCTTCACTTCAAAGAAAAATTTGACTTCAAAGCACTTTTTTTTAAAGTTGCATGCCTTATTAGTGTAGTTGCTTGTGTAGGGGCATGTTTGTGTTCATATAAACATAGTTTATGGTGGTGTCTCGCATATGCCCAACTATTTCGAGAATCCGAAAGCGGCATGGATGTTCGAGACTTTATTCGATGTGGCCTGTACGTGGAAGGACATCGCACAAAATCACGTCCTGGCTGAGTGGCGTTTATCTGCAGCTGCACTGATCGCCTGGAACTCTGTCCCAATGTTGCGAACGCAACACCATCCACTTAAATTTAAATGACATCTCTGGCACACAATCGCATTTTTGTCATTCCTCGCCACCCATAAATATGATCGATGACCAAAGCTATGCTCGTGGTCTCATGCGTATCTTATAGCAAATCACGATCAACGTACCCAATCGCGTGGGATCTGAGACGCTAAGCAGGTTTAAGCCTGGATAGCACTTGGGCGGGTGAATCACGAGGGCTTGCCGGGTGTCGTAGGTGATCAGGAAATTGCAGTGTTGGGTGTCACCTCCTCCTGCGCATGCGATTCCTCCGGTTACTCCGATTCCATATCCTCCAAGACTTCAATAAAATCCTGAGTCAAAAAATAGCCGCTGCTCCTCATATCCTTGCGTACACTTTCTCCACATTCCTGCGCAGTGTTTGAGGCTTAGCTTTCTTGGAGTACGTAATCACATCAACGTGATGCCTTTCATCTGACTGACATAATTTATCTTACCTTAAGGGCAACCATCGCCCCCCCCCCAACACTTTTTTTCAAAATTAACCTGCAGCGTCAGTGTAAAAGTTCGGCTTAATCAGTTGCTTCCTGACAAAGTTATTCTGGATCGAATAATAGCCTGCAACGCTGGGTAATAAGCTCAGTACGAGTGACTGTAAATTGCCCGTAGCAACGGAATTCTAATGATGTTCGCCGTTCTCTCGTTAATCACGGTAGGTCCATGTGGTTGTGGAGTAGCATCTGCAGGGATTTACCGACACCCATCCCCGTGCCCTTCTCTGGGTCTTGCCTTTATAAACGCAATTAACCTATAACTCTGCAGCCAAATCAGATATTCTTGGCAGCCGTTTCTTCCCGATGTGTCTCTTCCCCTCTGTCCCCCGGGTGAAATCATATACAGCTGCAATATTGTGTTACAAATGCTCCACGACTGACGCTTAACTCAGCGTCTCCCTGGCATCAGCCACCATCACTTTCTCTCTCTCCCTCCCCGTGTCTAAGGGCTCCTTGATGCTGGATTAAAAACAAAGCTCCACAAGTAAATATAAATAAAAATGTTACGTTCGCTTATCATGCGTATACGTCTGTTACGACCGAGGCTTTAACCAGCCATGTGGCTCCTGCGGCAGAGCGAAACGGCTCGCAGTCGGAAGGTTGCGAGTTCAACTCCTAGTTGGGTGTCGCCTCGCTCGGTCCCATCATCCCTTCGGAAGTCAATTCGGTGAATATGCACTATGTATGTTTGAACTTTTCTCACACCGTATGTCGGCCATCCGTGATAATTTAAGGTGCGCATACCACAGTGGGGAAGTGGTTATTGACCTTTACCGCAGCTTCGCACCCCTTTGGTTCTGAATCGTTAAAACAATATATCATAGAGGCTCGATGTAACAATGTAGTTGTACTTACGTGCTCCTGCCTAGCTTGTGTTGCGATGATTTTCCTTCTAGAAAAATCTGGCATGCCTAGCACCCCCAGAAAGGGCATCTTGCATCCACAGGGGGTGGGTGCACCCCAGGTTAGGAACCACTGCCCTATGGATGAGACTCGACCCCGGTCACAAGGGATGTGGAGTTTCCACCACCGCATCACGGTTGTAAACGGGAGATGATGAGCGCCTTATATTGGTATACTGAGAGGTGTGCTGAGAGGGATTCTGGATGTGGTGTGCTGGGTGCGGAAATATTTGTCCAAGCCACAGACAGCAGCTGAAGTGAAGCCCTCATTTCTAGAGAACATGTTGACCGGAAAACTGTTGGAAAAGGACAAACAAGCAAACAAGGAGTCAACACGGCAATTTTATGCACAATTATCCTTTCAATTGATTTATTATTTCAACGCTTTTTTTGTTGCAATTAGCCTCAAGAGCAGATTTTTTTTTCACTCGAAGTGCGTTTGCCAACCGTCGTTTTTACATTCGCCCATCAATGGAGTTCCTCAGTATTCGGGGAAACAGACCGCTCTCTTTCTCACGAGCCCTGCCGAGTGCTCCCTGAGTGAAGGGGGATGTTTACGAGGCGGTCGCTCGGCTCGGGTGACTAATTTGTGCGCGTCGCGCCGCAAGTGATCCGCCGCCACCGCCGCCATGGTCGTGAGGTTTTCATCATCATCGTCGTCGTCATCAAACTTGGTCAATCCACTGCTGGATGAAAGCCTCCCTCCCTGAAGCCGTCGCCACTTCTCACGGTCCTGCAATGCGGCGATCCATCGACGGCCGACGTACGAGATGTTTTCATCGCGCCAGTGAAAATCATTTATAAAATTCTGCTTAAAAAAAATTTGTATTTATCTTTTACCTCCTCTGGGGTATTTTTGACGTCTCGGCTCAAGGTGAACGTAGCTCTGGCAGCTGCAGATGCAGCCTGGAGGTTGCAGGATAACAGGTGACGCCCTACTTTGTCACCCAAGGAACATTTAGCAGTGTGCCGGCTGCCTCTTGCTGCCAGACTGACAAATTGATGTGTTTATTTGCTCTCTTGCTTTGGGAGTAGGGAGGTACAACAATGAAGGAGTTTCTGTATTTAAGTTTATTTTGTTTAACCAGGTGAGAACTCAAGAGACCAGGACGAGCCTCATTTGCAAGTCTTCCATTCGGGGGTGGGCGGTCAATGATTGCTGCTGTGTAAATAGTCTCAATTGAGTAATTTTCGAATTTGGACAAATGTGAATCCTGACTCCTGCACACAAATGTCCCACTCTTGCGAATTCCATCAAGGGGATGTTTAGTGTCCGTTGCGAAGCAGACTGCGCGTAGTATTACCGTGGTTAGTGCACGCTGCGGTAATAACCAGGGCGGTTGCTGGATTTGTGAACCGTGAACTTGTTTTAGTTTAGCGCCCTGAGAACGATTGTTTAAGGGCGCTCTATGAAGTTTAATTATTTGTTATCAATTTACTTCTGCAACGAGCGGCGACCGCAATACAGCCCACGGCCTAGCGGACGTGCCTGCCAAGCGTTACAGATTGTACAATGCCACAGTCGCACGACAACTCGCGTTTCTTCCCAAGGTATTATCGCGTCGCCAAATGAATCGCCGCAGCCGAGTGCATTATAAATGGTGTTTCTTGTGCGTGGTGGCAAATGAGATGTTTACGGTGAAATTAACTGGCCTGTTAGAGAGTTAATAGAAGGGAACCCTTGTAGCCACTGTTGCAATAATAGCTTCTGGGTCCAAACACCCGGGTAAATAACCCTAACCCTAACCCTTGATTCTGCCTTATTTTAGATTGGGGGAAAAAACCCTGCAAACAAGCGTGAAAATAACTTTGTTTATATGTATAAAATAACGAAGTAATTAAAAGTGTTCAAAAACTATTTTTTTCTTCAAAAAACATCCACGTGAATGCTTTTTATTGAAAAAATGTTCAGTGAACACTGGGAACACCCAAAGTTATCCGTAATAGAGTTTTTTTTGGGTTAGATCGCGTAAATATATAAATGTGTTGATAAAACCCGCCACCACCTGACACAGCCAACTAGTAAGGGTTGTCATGTAAACAGAAATTGGCCAATTCGTCACTAGTACAGCGTACCGGTGTGTTGAAGAGCAAAGCCACAACATTTAAAATCTGAGTACGACGTTTCGCCAGTAATTACAACCAGCTTCATCAGGCGACAGCCAGATTTGTGGAGAAGTCCACCTGTTTCGTTCCTTATATAGAGGCGTAGATGTGGTGACCACACTTCTGCGCTCTTGCGCAAAGTGGGGGGCGGGGGGGGAGATTACTGAGTCAACGTACATTACGCATGTGCATCATGCAAGCCCTTTGACCTTGTTCGGCTTACGTGACAACCCTTACTAGTTGGCTGTGTCGGGTGGTGCTGGGTTTCAACGACACATTTATATATTTACGCCATCTACCCCAAAAACCTCTATTATGGATGATATTGGTCGCGAAAGCCTGCTACGTGTTAAACCCAAAGTGAGCGAGCGACATTTATTTCGTAATGCTACAGATGAGAACCAATGCGTTACAAATGTGCCCAAAAGGTGCCAAGTGGTGGACACGCCGTGACGCATTGTGCCACGAAGCTGAATTGTAAAAAGAAACAACATCACGCAGCCACTTCTACAGTGGAAATACCACGGTAGAATTTAATATATGCAGATACCTTGGCTGCATCATTCAAATGTTGCACGACATTCCCGATTAAAAACAATGATGAACATGTGACTTCTCCAGCCAATCACAGTGTTTGCTGCCCACGGTCAATGTTACTCCATTTTGCGAAACGGAGCAAGGAGGATGTCGACAATGTTGTTCGCGACTTTATGGCACGAACATTGCACGACACGTCTTTCATTAAAAACGGTGGGTGAACCACCAGGGCTTGCCAGGTGCTGAGAGCACTGGAGCACGTTCTAGTGAGCCTCTCTAGAGGGTATTTGGTCTACTCTTAAACTCTCGCCAGACACCTTGGAAGAGGTGGAAGCACCCACACTTTACCCCGCCACACGCAACCTGCCGATCGACTAACTGCGGTCACACCAATTTATGCTGCCGCGCGGACGGAGGTGGCAACGGGGGGATTTGAGAAACTTCCCGATCGTTTCAACTGCCGCGCCGGGAGATCAAACCGAACCGAAGCGGCGACCCCAGGATTGCGAGTACCGGCGGGCGGCCAACCGTCGCACCGCGGTGGCAGCGTCCCCCCCCCCCCCCCCCCCCATCGACAGCCGTGACTCGGCACCCTCTGCTCTGAGCCAAGCGTCCCAAGTGGAACACTCGCGCGCTTGTGCCCGTCGGGCTGGAATAAGGCCGCATTGGGTGATTCCGCACAAACACGCACGCTGAGAGGTGTTTTCCCCGAGTCTGTCATCTAAAGTCATAAAAGTAAATGGGGGAAATAAAAATCACTTGACGTGATTTGTGCCACCAGCCACACGGCCTTTCCTGTGTGCCCATACACATTTATAGAACACCGGTTGCCTGATGCTAACCTTGCAGCTACAAATTATGACAGATGACTGCTTCTCCAATGCTGGCCCTGTAGTCTGGAATTCCCTTCCCCCAAACCATCCGTGCCGTTGACTCCCTGCCCATATTCTTCGACTCAAGGGCTTCCTTCTCTCCTCTGCCTCTGGCCGACTGCTTCCCTCTCTGTATGAATGAACATCCCCGCTGGTTCTAGACAGCATCTTGAGATGGCGTCGCGTGAGACGCTATGCATAAAACCACATTGCATTTATTGAGCTGCGTACAATCCTCACATAACACATGTAAAATGGAATTCATCTAAAAAGCAAGCCTTCATTTTATGACTATGCCGGTCTTCAGTGCATGACTCAGAGATGAAGCACATAACCGCACGGGCAAAACATACGACGCGGGACACATTGTAGCATTGTCCCGAGATTCATTCCCACTGCCGCCAAGGGGAGAATTGTGGGCGACGGTCCCAAGCAACCGCTGTTTCTGCGGTCGCGCGGTCTCGGCCGACTTGAAAGGGGCGACACCATGATGTCGCGGCATGATTTGCGAACTTCGCAGCATCGCCGCCCCCCTCCATCGGGTCACGGGGAAAGCGCGGTCGTACGTCGCTCGCCGCCGCTTGGGCACGGCGAGCCAGACGGCGGTGTGGCGCAACGTCGATCGCTCACAGGGCTCGCGTTGTCTCGGCGCGCAAGTACGTTGAACTCCTTTCGCACCGTACGGAGCCAACCGTGCTAATTGGAGGCATGCCTGCGGGGCATGGCAAGGCTCGCGATGTTGATGGGTCTGTTACAAATGTGCTCGCTAAAGCGTTTTGGCTGAGCGCGAAGGCGGCAGTGAAATTAAACACAGAAACTTCGCCTGTGGATTTCCACGTTTCGTTGCTCCGGCCACCAAGAATACAGCTTCTCCGCAGTGAACTCCCAACTCTGCGCTTTCCTTGAGACAAACTGCTGCCAATGATATGTTATTAAAGTCACCTACATGGCAAGATGGGGGCGATCTTTGTCATTGTTTTTCCGCTGTGATATTTTTTTTCTTACAAAACACATGAAGCGTCGTCCCACCTATTAGGCCTTCGTATGCATTTTGGCCATTCGGTACCTCGGCGAATAAACTGAACGCGTCGACTTTCGCGACCAATATTGCGATTCGTTATTAGATTTTTCGGTCGGATCGTGTAAGTTTTGAGGACAATCCAATCGTTTCGGGCTGCGGGTTTGTTCTCCCAACACCAGCCGCGTGCGATCGGGTGATCTTTTCCTTTGCCTTTGTCCTCCCGCCGCAGACGAACGGACGTTCAAGTGCGAGCAGTGCGACGCCACGTTCAAGCGCAAGGACACGCTCAACGTGCACATCCAGGTGGTGCACGACGGCCACAAGAAGTACAAGTGCGACCTGTGCGACAAGGCCTTCGTCACGCCCTCCGTGCTCAAGAGCCACAAGAAGGTGCCGTTCCCACGCTCGCAGCGGCGACTGGACAACCCCCACCACCTCCCACCCCTTCCCCCGCCCGCGGCTCTCCTCTGCTTCGTAGCGCACGTTAAAGATGCCGCGGGCGTTATTCGAAAAAGAGGAGTAGGCCACTGCGTGTGTCGGCAGTCACGGTCCACATTCGCCCAATTGGAGGGGTTGCTGAACTCGCAGATTGTATGTATGTCTGTATGTATGTTGAACTTCTTTCGCACCGTACGTAGCCAACCGTGCTAATCGGAGGTGCGGGGGAAGGACATTAAACTAAACACAAAAATCAGTTCTAAAGCAATTAGTTTCCAATCTAGCAATCTCAGTTAAGCAAGTGTTTCAAATTGCAATTGCGCCCACTACTAGCAGGCTAATGAACTAAAAATCTATATATTTTTTTATTATACCACGTGAGACCCACTGAGCTGTATAGCTTTTTCATAAGCGACCTGGCCACAAAGGATAACTGAAAAAGTGGCTTATCGTGTGGAAATTTATAGCAGCCAAACACTCTAAACGCACGTTTCTAAATGTGGCGAGAATACCGGAGGAACAGTGAGAAAAATCTGCGGGCATGACACGCAAACTCTTAATATGCCGACATCGTCAGGGTCGGGATCGAACCCATGACCTCCTGTATATCAGTAGAGGTAGTTAACATCTCGCCACCGTTTCACCCCATGGTCACAGTGCTGTGTTTTCACTTTGTGTTGCACAGAGACGGCTGCCTTAGGGGGTCCCCTTGACTAGACTGCAGCAGGCCAATGCATTGGTTGAGAGGATATGTGAAGTGAGGCACTTAACCAAGCACCGCTGTAATACTCATTGTTATTATTATCAATGAGCCCCATTATTTTCTTGCGTATGATGGCAATAAATCCTGGAGCTAAAAGCCAATGTCGAGGTCAGCTGCTCGGCACGACCGGACGAGAGGGCTTCAGGACAGAGTCCGATGAGTTTTACTATTCCTCCTTTGAAAGAGCACAGACCACAATGATTACTATACAGTCCATAGTTTAGGTTTCATGGCCACAATCGCACTGCTCTGGCTTGTCTTTAATTATCGCATTCATGAAGGAGATGTGCCCATCAGACTGTTGATATTCCTGTCCCTGGAGTGAGTTTCCATATTTTTTGTCACCTCGAGTTCCCCGTGTGAATGTTCAGGCTGAGAGGAATACATCAGCACACCCGTCACAATCTTCTTCTTTCGTATGGCTGATGTAGATGCAGATCAACAACTAAAACTTCGCATTCAGGTGGTCAAATCAGATGACTGCGCTGGGAGCAGCTGAGTGTCTATCGCTGTAATATCTCCTTCATATTTGTGGCTCGGGCGTTGCGTTGTTTTATATATGAAATATTAATGGAGTGGAAGATGGCAGCCTTCAGGTGGCCCACTCTGTTAAGTGAAAAATCACGATGAATGCTGTCAACATGGCGACCGAACACCGAACACCGATCAATCATCGATCTCCTGGTTGCCAGGGCAACAACAATAACTGCCCGTCACAATAAAACATCTCGTAGGCAGCGGGAACATTCATCATCACATTGAATTCAACAATTAATGTTTAATTTTGTCACTAATGCGCGCTCTCGACCGTTCACTATTTCTGGGAAAGTCTAACTCGGAGAGACCTTTATTATTATTATTACTACACTTGTTTGTCCAGAAAAGCCTCACTGAGTCTCAAGACTCTCTTTCAGGAGGGTCCTGCCAAGCTTACACAGTAGGGGGGCGATGTCCGTGCGTCTAATTCCCAATGGAGTAAAACATTTTTTTCGCAATTTGTGTGTAATTTTTCAACATTGGGACCAACTAACATGGAAACGCGCATAGCTCGACAAATCATGGAAACACCACTTTTATTTTTATCCAACTTCATTTGCCCTTCAACTCGAGTCCTGGGAGAAATCCGGCCAAGTCGGACGAACTCAGCCCAACACGAGCCAAGTCGAGTTGGCCCCTTGAGTTTCACCGCATGGGAGATGCGGGATAAATAATAAATGCTGCTGCTGATGATGATGACTGTCCCATGGAAACGCAAATCATCAAGTGTGTTGGTGTCCACCTGGAATCCAGCCAGCGTTCTTGTGCTGACACACACACACACTCAATCCAGAGACAGACAAAACATTATCTGGGCAATCGCTTGCACAGAGTCAAACTGTGCTGCACCGCATTCCTAAATTGGACAGACATCTTCGGCAGTTGACTGATATGGACGCGCAGAAATAAAGTTGGCGGAAGAAACAATATACCGATTGGCACAGACGCTCGCACTCAGCAATTGGAATGAGTGTAAGATACACAGTGCAGCAATGAAGGAACGAGCAAGATGCATAGATAAGAGAGAGAAGAGAATGAGGTGTGGATTGGTGGAGACTGTGGGTTTTGATTACTATACATATATCAATCACCGCCCCTAAGTTCCTTTCATGCATGCCCAATATCCTCGCGGCTCCACCGCTTTGGCCAGCTGGCATCACTTGAATGTAAATGGCGCGTCGTTCATTCTCGTCATTGAAACTCGCTCAATGAACCTTGCCTTTGATTCACTCGCGAAAAGTTGTCACAGTGAGAAACTGCGCGGGGGTCTGTCTGCAGCGCCGGGGTCAGTGTGGAACCGATTTTCCACGCTTGGTAACGGTGCGCGTTGATGGACAATTGGTGAGCTCATTGTAAAATGTTAATGAGCTTAAAGTCAACCGGTGGATCAAAAGTGACAAGAACAACACTTTTAAGACTTTTACGGATTGGTCGAGAATAATTCAATTGGCGTTCGGGGAGTGGAATGTAATCCGAAGGCGATGGAGCAATGAAATCTGCTTGCGTGCAGGTGCTAGTTGGATTGTTCCATCGCAGGATTGTGAGAGATGGCAGCGGCCTTCATCCAGCAGCGGGTTGAGCATGGCATGACGATGAATGTACTGCACATTAATTCAATGAACGGTGACATACGAGTCGAGAGAAATTATTGATGGTAAAGCATTGGTGAATGTATCATGGACTGAGAGCTAAAGAGCGAGCTGGAGAACAGTTGGTGAAGTGTAAAGGATTTAGATTCACGAATGGATCGAAGTCAAGTCAATGGCGGTTAGATCCCTTTGTAGCTCGGCCATTTTCCTATTAACTTTGCGTGGCTGGAACTATTCTCCAATGGCCAAAGTGTTGGACTACATCTGCGGTGTGGCAATAGAGACAATTATTTGTTTTGTTTCATAGCAAGCTGCTACTTAATCGTGAAACACAAAGAAATTGAACGAATCACGAGTTATTAGCCTGATAGTGCATGTAATTGCTAATCTTGTAGGAATTGAACTAATTATCAGTCATTTTCGTTAATAATCTATGGGTGATTGAACTAAAGCTTTAATCCCTAGTTTAACAATCCCCTGCGACTGCTCAGCATCGGTGCTTAAGCAATGTGAGGCTTTTTGTCATGCAAAAATAAATCCACTCTGTTCCACTAGTCTGCTCCACAAATACAGCACGAAATACCAAATGTTCATTTAATTTCAGCAAAAATGCAAAAGACCCTCAACGTCTGTAGCGTGACTACTGGGTCAACTCAACTTAGCCCATCTTTCCTCTCGGAGCCAATCAAATCATTACCACTTAGTGGGAAGGCAGCAGTGGGTGTCCTGTGGATGGAGAGACTGGCCTTGATCGTTTGTAGAGCATTTGGCTGCTATAAATGTCCACGTGACTGAGACACTTTTTTTTTTGAGCCAGTCATTTGTGGCCAGGTCGTTTCTGAAAAAGAGCTCCTCGCTTTACGAGGTAAAATAAAAAATAGAGTTCTTAAAAGGAAGCCGATTGTTTCAATTATGTATGTTGAACTTCTTTCGCACCATACGTAGTCAAACAAACAAACTCATCACAAAAAGCAGTTCAAAATTAATTCGTTGTCAATCTAGATTTAAAAGCATACAACTCCATTGGCTTCCTAATATTAGAAGAAAGAGTGTTCCAGACGGCCACAGAAGCGCATATGAAAGCGCGCGGTGCGGTGATGATGACCGAAGTTTGCGTGAGCACGGCTGTCTTCGGGCCCTAAACGAGAACAATGTTTTATTATATTACCCTCAGAACGTTACACAATTCCTGATGTTTTTTTTTCCTTCCCCCAGACGCACACGGGAGAGAAGGAGAAGATTTGTCCGTACTGCTGGGCAGAAGTTTGCGAGCAACGGGACTTTGCGTGTGCACATCCGCAGCCACACTGGTAAGGAAGGGCCCTTGCTAACGCCCTCTGCTTACACGGCCTACTATCGTTGCCAATGGTCACCAGCTTGCAACCGGTCAGGTGGCTGAGCCGTTGAGCGAGGGCGGCTCGCGAATTGCAAGGTTCAGAGTTCAAATCCTGCTGGGGCGGTTGACTACTCAGCAAATCATCTCTCCGAGAGTCCACATTGTCTGTCACGGAGATAGACTCGTCCACCCTCATAGCAGTGTGAAATGTTTACCCCTGGCTCAGGGTGGTAAAAATGCTCTTTTCACCAGGAAAGATTTTGATATTTTAACTATTACTATTCATGCTTTCTTGACACCTTGTAGCATTTTTAGATTTTTTTATTTTAATTGAATTACCGTTGTACCCATCTCAAACCAATATAATCCTCTGGCTGCAGTAGTTCTCTCGCTATATTTATTCCTGCCTCAGCAGTCCGCCTGCTGTATTTGTTTCACCTGAAGACGATTGCTCGTGTTGCGATCGAAACGTCGTGATTTTTTTCGTATTATTTTTCCATCTACGTGACTTTACCGAACGACCCAAAGAGAGGGTATGAATCCCTGCAGTCATGAAAGCTTCAAGTCAAGATTTACCGTTGTTTTTATTTCTATTCGGGTGCCGCATTTATTTTGTCTGGCAACAGTCGCGGTGCTAACAAAGCCCAGAGGCACCATCGCGGCACTCGGAGGGGGAGCCCTGGGGGCGCGTGTGTTTGGTTTGGGGGTCCCCCTTCGCTCCCTCGGGGGACGGTTGTGGGTTCGCTTCACTCCAAAACCCCAACAAAGCGGGTGTCGGGGGGGGGGGGTGGGTAGGAGGTGGGGGAAGAAAACGTTGTGGGGAGGAGGGAAAAGGAAATGCCCCCCCCCTCCTTCCCCTGCGTTGCATGCGGCGAGCTTCGTTAGCGCTGATTGGTGACAGCTGCACCATCCGAGTCCTGCACCTGTGACCACGGCAGGAATCTGAAGCACGCTCGCACGGCGACGCGGGCAGCAGCACGCGGGGAAGGTCGCACGTCTGACCGTTCGACCCCTTGACCTCTTCTCGGCGTTGCAACGATAGCACCTCGAGCATCGTTGCAAGTTCTATATACTGTATATATATATGTGCACGTCTTTTAAAATTTAATTAACCGTCATTGTTTACTCCGTGACGTTTTCGTTTTTTTTTATCTTGTTCACGGTTGCTAAAGCCCCAAAACGCCAAACGGCCATCAACAAACGGCACTTACTGTGTTGTGATAGGTAAGAGATCAGACGCGTTTTCTCGCTACGGATATCACTCGCCGCTGATGTCAACCTCCGATCAGCACGGATGGCTACATACTGCGCGAGAGGGGTTTAACGTACACGCGTACGTACAACGGGGGGTTGTGAGCAGAACGAAGCCGCTCAGTTCATAGCGCAGCGCACTGACCACGACGCCACCGCCACTCCGACCAAGAATCGCACGACGCACTGCGACACTTATCATTGACAATGGCCACGCGGGTACTGACGAATACCGCGTAGTGGTTAGCTCAGCGTAGTGAGCTAACCACCACGCTAACCGCTCCGCTACTCGAACACAGCTTCCAGAGGGGGGGGCGGAGTGGGTGGGTGGGGAATGGCTCTTCTATGTAAACATGTTTACCCGTATTTTGCCCGGTTCAGCAGCAATGATTCCGTGTCTCAGGACCAATGGCGATGAGCTCACTCCCTGCAGCTGCGCGTCGCCGCCTCTGCCCACGCGGCGCTTCTCCGGCCTGCGCCGCAGAGGTCGTTTTTGCGCTCCGCCACGGCGGCCGTCCCCCCCTCTCCCCCCCTCTCTCTCTCGAGGTTTGCGGCGCAGCGGAGGATGGGAGGGAGGTCGGGAGGGCGGCGTGGCTTCTCTGCGCGGTTCGTACTTCTGCGATGACGCACGTTCGTCGTCGTCCGTGCTCTGTCTCAAAAGCGAAGCGTGCCGAGGATCGTTTTTTGATCAGCGGTCCTGCGCTCGCTCGCTCACCGCCAGTCAGTCACCCTCCTTGTCACTCTGCGATCACAACTACCACGACGGTTATTACTGTTCCCTTGCGCATCGCTCACTGATTCCGCCCACCGATGTTGTGGGCTCAGCCTGCCGGACTGAATGTTTCGCCGCATCCACACTGTGTTCAACCACCGTACTGCAAGGTCACAACAACACACTCTCAGTCACTCACCCACCCACCAACTAACTCATTCACCCACTCACTCACTCACTCACCCACCCACCAACTAACTCATTCACCCACTCACTCACCACAGGTCACAACAACGCACTCACTCTCACTCACCTACAAACTCACTCACCCACCCACTCACCCACTCACTTCACCACACTGCAGGCTCACAACACACTCTCACTCACCCACCCACTCACTCACCCACCCACTCACTGCACCACACTGCAGGTCACAACGCTTCTCTTTCTACTCCTTTCCTCGCACTGCTCCATCTTGGAATTCCCTCCGATCGCCTATTTCCCCAAGTCCTGACGTAACGTTGCTCAATTCCAGGAACGTCTTATAAGTCGCCTATCCCGTACACCGCCAATACCTCCAACAGGAGTGCTGTTTGTGTCTGGTAACTTGGTGTGTTGGCCCTTTGGGCCTGTGCTCATTAAGCACAGGCATCGCATAATGTTTGCCAGCGCGAGGGATGGATGACGGAATATTTTGCTCAAGTGCGCGCCGTCAATCGCATGCCAAGCCGTGCGGATAAATGGAGCTGACTGCACTCATTATTTTTTTCCCCTGTGTAGTAAGAGCAATGGTTTTGGAAGGGATGTTTTTTGGGGAAGGTTACATTGCTTGGAATTACATGGAGAAACAGAAAGGAGAACATGCAGATCTGGAAAGAAACGGCGATCAGACATCGCATGGAATGTGAGGAAGGCTTGGGTCCGACGGTCAAGAACAACGATGGAGTGGGAGCCAAGGAACGCAACCCGTCCAAGACGGTCACCGCCATGGAGATGGAGCGATTAAATAAGTTAATGGCGAGATGTTTACTACCTTGCCTGGTATGCAGGAGGTCGTGGGTTCAATCTCGACCCTGATGCCTGTGTATTTGGAATTTGCTTGTTCTCCCCGTGGTTGCATGGATTTTCCTCCGTGTCCTCCGGAGTTTCCCTCGGCATTTATAAACACGCGCATCCCATTAGCCAGCCACAGCACGGCCTCTAGGAGCGCTTTAGAAAGATGCGTTTGGAGTATTTGGCTGCTTTAAATGTCCACGTGATAAGCCACTTCGTTGAGCTATCAACAGTTGGCTGGATTGTTGCATCGCGGGATCATCAAAGGTTGCAAACGGCTTGGTAGGCTTTCATCCGGCAGCCGATTGACCTTGGTTGCTGCTGCTGTCGATGTTGTTGTAGGTTTGCTACATTGAGTACGTGTATAGATGTAAAGATTCATAATTAATCTTTATTTTCAAAATGTTTAAGTTGAAACGCTGACTTTTTTACTTTCCAGCACTGAATATAATTTCACTGCAATTTGTATGACCACATGAATATGCTGACATGGGGCATTTTGAAAAAAATAATTCTCACTAAAAACTGACTTAGATCGGGGAAAATGTATCCATTGAGGAGGCAATGACCTTCAGGAATGTCGTACACAGTCTCAGAAGACTGTATTCTACATAGCCTCTGTCAGAACCAAATGGTAAAAAAGGCACAATATTTTCAATGTCACAATTGCAGTTAATTTCTGAAAGAATGCGGCCAAATGAGATTTAAGCCATCGGATGCTGTGGACCAAAGGCGTCACGGGACCTTCACAATTACAATTTAATCTTAATCACCAGCACCGCCGAATTTGGAAGGGCAATTAAGTCAATTACTCGCAAAAGAATTCCCCGCTAAAGCACGCGTTCCTTTCTGCCTTTTCGTAATGGAATCTAATGAGATTAGACAGGAATAATTGACCCCAATCAAATCAGCGGTATCCAAATTTTTCTGCCAGGGAGTGTGAACGCACCCCAGAGGCAACGATGTCTACAGGTTTGAAGAAAAAAAAAACAACGATTCATATTCAACTTGTTCTGTTCAGTGTAGCTTTCCAATTTTTGCCTGGTAATAATTTGAACATTTGTAACGTCCACAGTCTATTTTTTTTCAGAGTGAAAGATACATCTTCTTGGTTCTTTCGGTAAAGTCACGTAGAAGGGAAGTAATAAAATAATAAAAATAAAACATAATAAAACAATTCTCACGACGTTTCGGCCACAACGCAAGCAGCCGTCCTCAGGTGAAAACCAGGTCCGTCGAGGCGACAGAGTCTGAATGAAACAGCACACGAGCTTGGAGCATATATATAAGCTGGGCGCATTGACAAAGTAATTTGCATATCAAAAGGAATTTAGCATATTTATGGGAAATGCAGGAATGTGATTAGTACTGCATCAAAGGGAGCTGCAGTTACAGTAACTGCAGCTCCCTTTGATGCTGTTAATCCTGCATAATGCACATGCATATGCAGTACTAATCACATTCCTGCATTTCCCATAAATATGCTAAATTCCTTTTGATATGCAAATTCCTTTGTCAATGCGCCCAGCTTATATATATGCTCCAAGCTCGTGTGCTGTTTCATTCAGACTCTGTCGCCTCGACGGACCTGGTTTTCACCTGAGGACGGCTGCTTGCGTTGTGGCCGAAACGTCGTGAGAATTGTTTTATTATGTTTTATTTTAATTATTTTATTACTTCCCTTCTACGTGACTTTACCGAAAGAACCAAGAAGATGAATCCCTGCAGTCACGAAAGCTTTAAATCGAAAAGTGAAAGATACAGTTCTTGTGGGAAGGCAGCCAGAACCAGCGCCAACAATTGCCCAAGCTCTGTGATCCTACATCGGCATGTTTGGCCACCGCATAGTTGGAGTATTTCAAGCATGGTTCTTCGTCCAACTTCCCTTTGCCCAACGTGCATTTTTCGTCCTCTTCTGACTGCAAATACGTTGCGTTTGCTCCCAAGTCGCCTGTGTC